ATTGAACTAGATGTCTAATTCAATTTTGAAAATAATAATGAAAATAGAACAAGATTTATGAAAAGAAGTTTATTTATCTTAACAAAATTAGAAAGCACAATAAATTATATATTTTCATATTATCTAATAATGTAATAAAATATTAAGCATGGTAAAAGAGAAATAAATTTCTCAAGAGAAAAATAAATTAATTTTCTAGATAAATTATTATTTAAATTAGTCTATTTTTTTTAAAAAAGATTCAATTAAAAAGATTATTATTTAATTTTCTTTTATAGCATTATGTTTCTCATTTTTTAATACATCATGATATATTAATTATCTATTTTAAATTATATAATTTGTATTATTTTAAAAAACAAATTAATTTTATTGGGAGGGTATTGATTTTTATTTCTTATCATTAATATTTTTATCATTATAAAAATAATATTATATATTTTTATATTTGCTTTCATTTAAAAGAAATATATTTCTAAATTTTTTAAAAAATTTACATTTAGCGACCGATTTTAATTTGGTCGCTAAAATTATTATAAATAATAATATTTTTTTTTTTTTAGCGACCGATTTGAATTTGGTCGCTAAAATTAGTATAAATAATAATTTTTTTTTATTTTTTTAGCGACCGATTTTAATTTGGTCGCTAAAATTATTATAAATAATAATATTTTTATTTTTTTAGCGACCGATTTGAATTTGGTCGCTAAAATTAGTATAAATAATAATTTTTTTTTATTTTTTTAGCGACCGATTTTAATTTGGTCGCTAAAATTATTATAAATAATAATATTTTTATTTTTTTAGCGACCGATTTTAATTTGGTCGCTAAAATTATTATAAATAATAATATTTTTTTTTTTTTTAGCGACCGATTTTAACTTGGTCGCTAAAATTATTATAAATAATAATATTTTATTTTTTATTTTTTTAGCAACCAAAACTATTCCATCGCTATTTTAACCAAAAATTATTATTTTAGCAACCGATTTAACGATTGATTATTTGCCACTAAAAAATTCGGTCGCTAATTTGGTTACTAAATAAAATTTGCAACAAAATCATATTCGGTCGCTAATTATGTCGCTATTAGCGACGAAAAAAAATCGTTCGCTAATTTTGATGGCTAAATTGACTTTTTTTTTGTAGTGGTATAAAATTATGTTACTTTATATTCTATCATGACACATTTACAAGTTGTGAAATACAAAAATAATTGTAGAGACACTACAAGGAAATTGTTGTATAATGACACACATCTTATAGTGACACAATAAGAGTCACTAAAAACTACTTTTACCTACACAATAAATATAATATATGTTGGTATATTGTTAAAAGGTGTAGATATAAGCTATAGTGACACACAAATATGTTGTTAAATCTCATTCAAAATCAACACTAAAATTGTGTGTAGCTATATGACAAATAAATATATACTTACATATATTATACTTATACTAACACTTTTTGTATATCACTATATATAACATTTATTGTAGCGAGAAATTATTAAGTGATATAAAACTACTAAATTTTCATGATTTCCACCGAGGATCAATAGATCCATAACCCATTAAAAGGATTAATTTTTTTATTAATAAATTTAAATAAAATATTAAATTATAATTATTAAATACATCACATCGTTAATCTAACTTATGAATATTTTTTTTAAAATCAAAATTTATCAATAATATGAAATATGTATCAACTTTCTACCAATCTTTCAATATAAAATTTAACAACTAATTAAAATTCTCTTTCTTCTTGTCCGTTTAATTAAATTTATTTATTTTGACTAAGTTTATTTTTTTTGACTATCTACGTAACTGAAAGTGAAAGTGATTTATCAATTATTAATTAATTATAATAACTAAAATAAAAAATTCAATTATCTCAAATAAATTATTTATTTAATTTTTATATTTAAGTGGACTTATGTTAATTTTTTAGAGTTGTTGTAAAGATCATTTGAGTGTCTAAATTTCTTTATTTGTGTTTTCTTATTTTATCATAGTTTTTATATTAGTAAAGTTTTTAATGTGAATAGCTTCCATTCTTTTAAAAGAACTTAATTTTTATTTAATTAATATATATATTTTAATATGATATAAGAGAAAATGTTTTAAAGTAGAAAAGTGTCACACTAGTAATTTTGTATGTAATTTTGGCACCAAGTTTGAAGTGACCTGTGAGACCCCTCCTGCTTCTCTTTCTTCCCTCTCAACATTCTTCATTTCACTTCCTCTCTTCACTATTCTTCTCCTCCCTCTCTTTGCCTTTGGTTTTAATTTTCTCTGGACCCATTTGGTGTTGTAGGTGCTGAGTAGTGGTGTTGGAAGCTAGCTGAGGCGCGGACTCTCTCTTCTCCGTTCATCTTTCTCTTCTTCTCCTCCACTTCTCGGAACTCGGATTTCTTCTCCTCCGAGGTAAGGAAAGTTAGTTTTTCGCTTGGATTGGTTGAAAAGAGTTTAGAAACTCAAATGTTGGTTGTTTTTAGCTGATTGATGGTTGGATTGGAAGGAAATTTCGTTTTCGGGGTTTCGGGGAAAATGGAGAAAAATTTGGGTTTTTGAGTGTTGATGATTGCATGTTGAAAAAGGGATGAATTTTGAGTTGTTAGATGAAAATGTGGTGTTTTGGGTGGATTGCATGTGCTTGGATTGCTTGTTTTTGCAGGTTTTTGGTGAAATTTTTTGAAGTTAAGGGTTGCTGCTTGATGGTGCGCCGGGCGTAGTTCTTGGCACCGGGCGCGTGACCATTAGAGGGTTCCATTGGTCAAGCACGCCAGGCGCGAGGCTGGTTGCGCCGGGCGAGGTTGGAATGGAGGCCCCTGGATGGCTCACATCGGGCGTGGGGGAACCGCGCTGGGCGTGATATCAGACAGGGACTCACATTTTGGGGTTCTAGTATGGCGTCGGGCGTGATTATGTCTTGCCGAGCGTGGAGACTCCTTGGGACTCTCTACCAGGGGTGGCACCGGGCACAATTGGTATTGCGCCGGGCGTGATACCTTGGGGAGGTCTCTGCCTTACTTGTACCGAGCGCGGGTTTGGTACGCCAGGCATGGGAGATTCTTGAGAGTCTCTACCTTCTAGTACGCCAGGCGAAATTGGAATTGTGCCGAGCGCGTAAGAGCTTTGGAGCTCTCTGGTTGGTCTACGTTGGGCGCAACTATGATTGCGCCGGGCGCGGATGTGTTCTTTCTTGATAATGCTGATTAATGTTGTTAATGCTGTGTAATGCCGTATGATGTTTTAAGCCGTATTGATGTAAAGTTGAGCTGTATTGTGTGTTGTTTATGCTGTTAATGCTGCTATGTTGTGTTGTGTTGAATGCTGAATATAAACTATTGTAAGCCGTAAGGCTAAGCTGTTGTAGGTCGTAAGGCTGAGCTATTGTAGGAGATCTCCGAGCTGATATGCATGACGACGCATAAGTTGTTTGATGTTGTTTTTGCTTAATGATGTGAGCTATATATGTATAGTGTGTTGTGAAGCTGTGCTGTAGATGTATGCTGTGATGTGTTGTATGTTGATCCTGTTGAGGATGATGATGTGTTGTTAGCTGTAGCTGTTTATTCTTTCTTTATATGATGATTCTTTTCACTAGCTTACCCTTGTTTGTTTCCATGTGGATTTGACTGCAATGATCATACTATGTATGGGAGCAGAACAGGGATAGGTTGAAGTCCTGTAGTAGGTCTGCAACTGGCAGATGGAGTTGATGTTTTTGTTGTTTTTGGCTACTTAGTGTAGCTATTTGGTTGATGTATTTTGTATATTGACATGTTGAACCCCAGGCTAGACCTATATGTATATATTTTATTTTTATATATGCATACTCTATTCTACGTGGTGTTGTGTTGTGGTGTGGAACGGCTAGGCGGGTCTTTACATGACTATTATGTATATACAATATATTTTTATAATATTTTATACTCCTTTTATTCCAAAATGACTATTGTTTTAATATTTAAAAAATTATAAAATAACTGATATTTTTAGTCTTCAATTGATATTATTTTTTCTAGTATAACTCCACATTAGTTACAAGAATCTTAATACATTTATCGAGAGAGTGACGTATTTTAGTAAAATTATATTAAAAATTAATAATTTATTGTTGTTCTTAACATGTGTGTAAAATCTTTGAAGTATTTTAGTCATTTTGAGATGGAGAAAGTATAAAGTTATGTTACTTTATATTCTATCATGATACATTTACAAGTTTTGAAATACAAAAATAATTGTAGATAAATTATTAAGTGATATAAAACTACTAAATTTTCATGATTTCCACCGAGGATCAATAGATCCATAACCCATTAAAAGGGATCAAATTTTTATTAACAAATTTAAATAAATATTAAATTATAATTATTAAATACATCACATCGTTAATCTAACTTATGAATATTATCTTTTAAATCATAAAATTCACCTAAAATATGTATCAACTTTCTACCAATCTTTCAATATAAAATTAAACAACTAATTAAAATTCTATCTTTCTTCTTGTCCGTTTAATTAAATTTATTTTTTTGACTAAGTTTATTCTTTTTTGACTATCTACGTAACTGAAAGTGATTTATCAATTATTAATTATAATAACTAAAATAAAAAAACATCAATTATCTCAAATAACTTATAAGATCAGTTAAAAAAAGAGTTAATTTTTTTTAAAATCATATATTTATTATAATAAAAATATATTTTATTATAATTTTTTCCCCAAACAATCGAGAAAGAAGGGGTCAATTAGGAATAACGTTATAAAAGATGATGTGCTAATTTTTCTATTTCTTTTAGATAAACAGTTGACTGTATCTTTTCAAACGTAAGTGCAAACGTAGCATAACCTCATAAAGGTCTTGAGCAGCCTACTCAATAGAATATGTCAAAACCAACCACAGCATATTTTCGAATTGTTTAAGGTTATGAGTTTATATAAAAGACCATGCATGCATGCACCTGTCCTATAGTCGACAACAATTGTGTTTTGGTGATTCAATTGGATCTGTGGAGCGATGTCGGTGGATGAGGTGGTTCTGTTGGATGCATGGGGCAGCATGTTTGGGATGAGGGCTAGGATTGCATTGGAAGAAAAGGGTGTTAAGTATGAACACAAGGAAGAGAATCTCAGCAACAAGAGCCCTTTGCTTCTGCAGATGAACCCTATTTACAAGCAAATTCCAGTTCTCATTCATAATGGCAAACCCATTTCTGAATCTGCCATTATTGTGCAGTACATTGATGAGGTTTGGAATCACAACACTCCAATCTTACCCTCTCATCCTTATGAAAGAGCTCAAGCCAGATTCTGGGTAGATTACATTGACAAAAAGGTACCTCACTACCTCCTTTAATGTTTTATCATCTCATTTCTATTTTTATTTCAGTTTATTATTTGTAGAAAATTGATTTGATTACATGCTTATTTATTTTCAAAAGTATTTTTTTCTTTGGGTAGGGAAAAGCATTTGAAAATAATTGACTTATATTGTTTGTTTGTCACCGTTGCTGACAATTACCTAAGAATTTTGAAACAAACTTGACTTAGTCCAACGCGTGAGGTGGTCATGTATGCACTTATACCTCAATTTACTTTCATTTATTTTATATTTATATATATTATTTATACTTTTGGCGCTATTAAAAGAATAATATTCAGCTAAAAATATTTATTTGACTAAAATAATTTTTCATCATCAACTAAAATATTTTCTTTCGCATAGATTAAAATCCTTGTTTGTGTTAATCTCATAAGTTTAGTATTAAGTCATTTATAAAATTAATCAAAATTAATCTGCTAATTAAAGCAAACATCTAAAACACTTCAGGGACGAACAAAAAAAAAACACTTAAATCTTGGGACTAGCTATTCCACCCTTTGAGGTGCCTCCAACGTAGCGAGGGGATTAGTCACTGCTATCGGCGGTGAATATTCCAGGGACGAACAAAAAAAAACATCTAAAAATATCCAAAAAAGTATGAGACAACATTTTTTTTACCCTTAAAAGACTAGAAAATAATAATATAATATTTCCTTCTATCACTTATAGCTTTAAGTTAATTATAAAGTATGCTATTAATTATATATGGTCAAATTCTAATAAGTCAAGACATAATTTATTCTGCTATGAAATTTAATTCTTCACTTATTATATTGCCCTAACCATGTTCTTAATCTTATCTCATAAAGCTTAAATTTGTGTAAAGAATTGACGGATTAATTGTATCTTCACTGTTAAAACAAATTTGCGAGGTAGTAACATATATCCAATATTGTAACACATTATATGTCACAAAAAATATTATTACATATACTGTGAATATAATATATATTGGTATAACACTTAAAAAATGTAGATATATATTATAGTAATACATAATATATATTGTTGAATTTTATTAAAAATTAATATTAAAATTATATGTTAATATAGTGAAATTGATTTTATGTTTATACATATCGTATCTGTATTAAATTTTTTTGTATGTCACTATATATATTATTTCTTGTATATATGTCATTATATATATTATTTCTTGTATATACTAATAATTAATTTTACAAGTATAAATAATATTTGTGATAATCAATGCAGGTGTATCCTACTTGGAACAAAATGTGGCGTTCTGAAGGAGAAGATCATGAGGCAGCAAAAAAGGAGTTGATCTCTATCTTTAAGCAACTAGAAGAGACATTGGGTGATAAAATCTTTTACGGGGGTGACACGTTTGGGTTTGTTGATGTTGGTCTCATCACTTTCTATTGTTGGTTTTATACTTTTGAGACATATGGCAATTTCAAAATGGAAGCAGAGTGCCCTAAACTCATTGCTTGGGCCAAGAGATGCATGCAGAGAGAAACTGTGTCCAAAATTATTCCTGATGAGAAGGAAGTGTATAATGCAGTTGTGGAAATGAAGAAGGAACTTGAATCGAAATAGAGGGATTTCATGGATCAGTTCAATAGATATATGGTATTAATAATATGGTCTTGTGTACTTTTATTTTGTATTTTGTGTTTTATGATTTGACATGTCTTCTCTATGCAATATTAAGTAAGGATGAATGTTTTAATGTTTATTTTATGTGAATTCATAATCAATACAAACTCACGTTTAGTCGGTATCTATTGTTTCCTTTATTAATTTTTTTTTTTCATAATTAAGAGTTATAATTCTCAACAATTTTAAATGTAAAGTAGTTTCTCTAATTACAGTTAATGTTTATATCTTTATGATTTATGAAAGAATATAAATATCCAATTACTTATATTAACGATTAGTAATTAATTAGCTCAGTTTATCGCAGTATAATTTTTTTTAATTAATCACGTTTAAGTTTTATGTTAATATATTGCACTTTTATGTTTTTTTTTTTATAATATACGTCAACTTGTATATATTTTTTTATAGTAATTATGTTATTTGGTATACACTAAACTAATGTTATTAGACTTCATCTGATAGATAATTTGAATATCAGATCAATGGATTAAACGTTGAATTATTGAATTACCAATTGACCTAGCTACATGATTCAATCTTACATTAAAAGTTTAAAAATAATTGACAATATATAAAAGTTATGCTTCAAAAAAGATATTATAAATAGATAAAAATATATTATAAAATTTTCATGAACAAAGACATTAAAATTTTCAAGATAATAAACACTTATCAAATTAAAATTAGAACAACTGAACAACAACAAATAAAATAAAAAATCAAAAACTCATGCACCAACAAGTAACAACATAACAACCTACCACCCAATCCAACCAACAAGCATTAGACAAAATAAAAAATATTAAATTGTAGTTAACGACTCACGCAAATATGGCTGCATTGTGGTGTGATGAAAGATGACAAATGTTGTTCATAGATGTTGAGAGCACAAAATAATCTAAACTCTTGATACATGCAAAACACTTTACTAAAGAATTTATTCACAGAATTTCACACAAGTCTCAGGAAATAACATGATCTTTTCAGTCTTAGATTGAAAAATGCAAAATTAACAAATTTTTAACCTAAAGAAAAGAGTAATGCTCATTGCATTTGACTCTTACTAATTTTTAATATTTATAAAAAAATAATAAATTGTAGCTATAATTAATTATAAGGGTGAGTAGATGAGTCCAACCCAAAATTGGAGTAGAAAAAAAAAAAAAGAAAAGAGAATGACATGTGGGTGGGTATTTGTTACCCAAACTTGACCAAAAAATATTAGTGAAGTATGCCTGTTAATTTGAGCCAACAAGCACTAAATGAAATTAATGGCCCATAGAAGTGATAGATTTAAGCTCTAATCCTAACTTTCACTCTCTAAAAGGTAATATAAACAGAAACTCAAACCTTAAGTCATCGCTTTCTTGCTTGTAATTGCATGTCACCCTCTCTTGGCACTTACTAATAGATCAATATGCTCACCTTATCAACAACCTCGCACCATTCCACTCTCTTAACTCACCTCTTTCTCTCATTACAAACCACCACCAAATGCCTTCATATATAACCTCTACGCATCCTCCCTAGTCCCCTTTCACTGTGAGAGTCCCTCTTTGCTTCTTCAAAAAATGTTTCTTTTCAACTTATTTGATGTTGCGAAGCACTATTCTGCGATTGGAAGTTATTTTAGCAAGCAAATATTTCTTCATATAGGCATGATTGTTTTTATCTTTGATTAAACTATTACCTTCATATTATATAAAAGTTGTTTGCATAATGTATTTTCTCTCTCTCTCTAAATATGGAGGCTGTAATTTCTGCAATAACTTTTTAGGTTGTAATTTTTGCAATGACTGGAAAAATTAGGATGAATAGTGGTCAACAATGATTTATTTGAGAAGTTGTGTTTTGCAAAAATCTACATGACTCTAAATTTGTAATTTATTAATATATGATATATTTGCATTTTTGAATAATATTTGTATTGAATTTTTGAATCAAATGTTTATTATTTTTTTTCTTATGAATTATCTTTTACCAAAAAGAAGTTCAAGTAATTTCATTATGAAAATGTAATGTTATTTTGGGCCTAGTTTAAAAAACTAAAAGTAATACTAAAAGAAAAAAAATAAAAGAGCTTAGAAAAAGGTATAAAGTTGATCTGGACTAATAAAAATTAGTGGCCTAAAGAAATCTAAAATCTTGAGAGTAGAAAGAGTATAAAACTTCATTTTGAAAAAAAAAAAAACTAAATAGCTAAATTTAAGGTCATAATTACTAATATGCCCGATCTCACCAAAATACACTCAACTTAAAATCTGTCCAACTTGACATCTTATTTGGGCAAAAACGGGTCTATAACATATACATCATGTATTGTTGCGATTTGGACATTTACAACCCGAACTTGTCCAAACTCTTCCACTGATTACCCCCCTAATCACAAAAATTAAAAATAATTAATTTTAAAATATTTAATAATTAAAATTAATTAAAATCATAATAATTAGGTTATTATATCTCATTAAAATCAATATTAATTAAGTTTTAAATAATATATAATTAATAAAATAATTATTTTAAATCTAAATTTAAATTCAAAATAATATCATAAATAAATTAACCTTTTGAAATATCTTAAAATATACAACAACTAATGTAACATTGTACAATGAAGACAAGTGACGAATGATGACAAACATTGAAGTTTGTGTCATTGTATGATGAAAAGATGATGAACATATCATACTAACAAGATTGCATCACTATTGTTAGAGTGTGAAACTATGAAAGAGAAGAGATGACAAGAATTGTGCAATGCGACCAAAATTGTGTGATGGAGGAGAATGACAAACAAATTAGATGGACATATAGAGGAAAGCCACGAATGTCATATTGATCGAAGCCGTATCCGGTCAAATAAATAAAATTAAATATAGTACTAGGAAGTGACTCCTAGGTCGTCTCCCAAGGACCGTCTTTTACTGTTAAAGGCTTAAAAATACGAAGCGGGGGGGTTTGTTTTCGGATTTTCAGTTTGTACACAATAATACGAATTAAAACAGTAAGTAAAAACGGATTGGTTCCCTGTTCAGATTACAACTCTTTTATCCCTGGTCCTCAAAAGATTTCCCTGTTCATAACTTAATCCTTGTTCCATCCGAGTTAACCAACTAAGCGAAGATTAACTCAAGATTTCCCTACACCACGAATTAAGCAAACGTATACAACATTAAACCTCCCCACAAGATTAAGCAACTTGGTGAGCAACCTGATTCATTAAGCATGAACAGGTATCAAAAACATTCAGAGGTTCAATGAAGAAGAACCAAGTAAGCAGAACACAGATTCAAATACAAATAAAACCTCAAATAGATATTACAATCTGCTCAAGGAACCAACCCCAAGGGTTTTTAGCCTTCCATTAAACGGAAACACAAACGGAAATACAAACGGAAATACAAACGAAAATACAAACGAAAACGAAAACGAAATTTCAAGGCAGAGAAGAGAAACGAAAATGAAATGTATTCTTCAAATGTAAATATTCATGTTCTACAACCAGCACAACCAGAGAAGACAAGAGAAGAACGAAAATGGCAACTCAAATAGAAGAACGAAAATGGAAGCTCAAAAAGAACAAAACGAAAATGAAAGCAACAGGGAACCAGAAACGTAAAAACACTGTAGCTGCATGAAAGAAAAACGTCCAGAAAAACTAAAGAGAGGCAGCCCCCTATGTAGTCATATCAACCTCCTCCTTAATGGCTGCCAAGTCAGCCCTACCCTAGGTGCAGTTGACCTAAAACGAAATTGGGCCCCCATCAATACAAATCTGACCCAAGTTACATTAAAATAGAGTTAAAATTGAAAATAAATGTTGAGGTGGAAAATGGTGCAGCGATGACATGGCAGATGTCGTGGAAGATGACGTGGCAGCTCCACTTGAAGTCCAGAAATTAATTTCAAGCCCAGATAATTATTAAACTGCCCTGAAAATGAAATTTGGAATAATTAGATTCAGAAAATTCAAATTAGTTAAAATATGAATTACCGGTCTAATTAAAGCCCAAATAGAAAACAGTGCAGAATATAAACAATTAAGCACAAATCAGAGATTAAAATAAGTACAAAAAGGTAAGAAAATAGGGAAAAATAATGACTCATCACATATTGCCAAAATAAAACAAAAATTATGCATTAACCCGATTAAATCAGGAAAACTCGCCAAGTCACTGATTTTAGGTCAAATTTGTCGAGTTAGACCAAGTTGCATCTGGTTGAAAGCATCCTCGATCCATTGGTTCACTCAAACCAATTAAATGGCTAGTTTCCAGGTAAACCGATTGGGTCGACCAGTTCGAGTTGAGTTTAATAACACTGTACAAAACTCAAACTTGAGACTTAACTTATGGGGATTGAATCTAGTATAGTCCAACTAACAACTTATTAGTCTAATATGATTAGTTTAACACTTTTACATCCATTGATGGAAGCCCATGCGCCAAGGGCCCAATTACTAAGGCTATGGTCAAGAGATTGGGGGAGGAATGGGCCAATGTTCAAGAGAGACCCATGACACTTTTTAGTTGGGTTGTTCATTAAAGCTCATGTAGAATAGGGTTGGCCCAATTGGGCTTGTATTTTGTTTAAAGGTCTTGTATTTTGGCCAAGTAGACTAGGTTGTGTTTGGGCCATGTAATTCGGTCATTTATAGTTTTCATTTCATGTGAGTGTGTCTAGTGGAATTTGAGACACATTTAGAGTGCATTTAGAGTCATGTGATCGGCCATCTGGGTGGTGCACATGGTGTGACTCAAATTCACTCCAAATGTGAATCAAATTACATTAGGTTGCATGCATCACATGTGGGTAACGGATTGGTGCCGAGAATCTAGGGAAGAAATTTAAATTTGAATTCTAGGCTCCAAGGGTTTAAATTAACCATGCCATGGTTAATTTAAACTCTTGGCCACTTAGCTTCTTGTGCACATTATCCGTGGCCTATATATAGGATACTCCATGTGTAAACTCTCACTTTTGAGCATTTTATGAGAGATATATATGCATTTTCTCTCTAGCCGAAAGTCACCATTTAAGTGAGGAAAGTTTTCTCTTCTCCTTGAGATTTTCTCTTTGTTGCCTTGGAGCTCTAATCCGAAGAGCTTAGG